CAGTGGCAAACTGGGCCTCAGTAGTTGACTGCTGGAGTACTGATGGTTACCATTGTACTGGCAAAGCTTTATTGTCTGTTGAATGAATATTCTTCTCATTTGGTAAGGGTAGCCACAAACTGCAAATAACACTGAGCTCCAAACTTTATGGTAAAGCAAGCTGCTTCACATCCATTTTTTTTTTAAAGCCATCTGGAAAAGCTGTTCTTTTTCAGATAAAAGTAATGCTTATTCTCCACTTGGAACGGGGATTTGTATATTAGGTTTAGTATGTAAGGAGGTATAAAGGATGAAGTGTTCTCTTTGTTCAGGTCTTCCTCTGTGTTGTAATTATTCACCATAACATGGATTATCCACAATATGGAACTGTAGTCAGGAGTCTACTTCTCTGTCGGTCTAATATGTTCCTTGTTGGACCTTCAGAAATTTTTGCTCTCTGAGGAGAAGAAATGCCAAATCATTTATATCTAATATGAGAATGGTGCAGCAGTGAGACAGTGTGTAAATATGACAAATTCCATGTTCATTTGCCATCAAATTTGACCTCAGTATTTCCAGAGACAGAATCTGGTTCTGAGCACTGTAGGCAAAGATCTCCAGCAGATACAGAAAATAGATTAAAAATAAGTGCACTGTTAGGTATTCAGCCCACTAAAGGGCTTCTGGGAAGCTTTAAATTCATAGAGTCTCAGAATTGTTGAAGTCCAACACCCAAAGCTCATGTTAGTACAAACATGTATGTGGATATAGTGTGCTTCTGCTGAAGTAAAGATTTTTTTTTTAATGTGAAATAAGTCACAGTATTATATGACTATAACCGGATTAGGATGAGGAAGGCCTTTAAGAAACGCCCCAGTTATGGTGCTCTGCTCAATAACGCTTGGTTTAATAGGAAAGTAAAGTGCTAGTAAAATTCTAACTGTGTTTGTATTAACGGCCAATTTCCTGCACTTTATTTTGTCCAGAAATTTGAAGATCTATCTTCAAGCTATGTATATTTCAGTCTGTCTAGCTGTCAGTGGCTGGTTCTTCATCAGGGAACAGGTTGTCTCTCTTAGTGCCGTGCACCCTATTCTCCCGGTGTAAAGCATGCTTATGACGGGTTCTACATTCTGTAACGACCAAGATCTCAAACGATCTCTTCTTTGGCCTTCACCATATCATTGCCCTACAATTGCATCCGTTCAATGTCCCAGCATGACTGCCTCTTCATGGATGGCCAGGGTGGAAAGGAGAAGGTCAGAAGAGCTGTCCTCCTCTTCTGACCCCCTTGGGCAGGGATGAGAATTGCAGGGTACCCCAAGGGCCAGGGCGCTTCCTGTCATGCTGCAGGGGAGAATAGGGCCACCAAGCTCTTAGCTTAGCAGTGGGACAGTGAGAAAAGGACACTCTCCTTCTTTTGGGACAAGAGGTGACATTGACTGTGAGGAGCATATTTCTCCATCTTATGGGGATAGTGGTGTAGTCCCCCAATTGCACAGAGATCTTCTTGTTTCCTCAGTCCTGATGTAACTAAAACATCTCCAGCGTCTGCCATTGATGGCTCCTCTCTGTACACACACATGCACACACCCAGGGTGGTAGAGGGAGCCTTAGGGAGCAGAATCAAGCCTTGCAACATGATTCCGAAGAGACGTTTCCAAAACTATCTTTGCTTCCCAAGGTCTGCCAGTAACATGGGAAATCCCCCAGCCCAAAGCACACAGCTTCAGGAGGTGCATTCCAGACAGATGTGTGATGTACAAACCAGCTAGTGAAAAGGAAACAGCCTCTTATTTTTCCCCAAACTCTCTGCTACAGGGGAACACATAGCTAGTTAAAAGAGCAAGCACCTCTTGCCTGTGCAGTGCCCTCCCTTGTTACAGCTGTCCAAGAGCTTTGCTCCCCATGCTGCTGATGACTTCCTGACATGTAGCTATCGCCAGCACAGTACAAGGAACAAGCACTGTAATTTTTCATTTCTTTTCAATTAGTAGTTGCAGAGAAGGAGCCTCTGGGAAAGTATGTGGCACTCCTGGCTTTGTGAGGTCGTGTATTACAGGGAAGACACTGTGATGTTGTGGCACCTTGGGAGCTGTAGACTCATTGCTTGAAATTCCTAGCCATGATTAGCCACGTGGACAGTGGGTGGACTCTCAACAGGAGCCTGCCTTTTCACCAGTTGAACGGCGGACACCCCACTCAAAAGCCTCTTTCTCCCAGTCCCATTGAACAATGCTGATGTTGTCTGTCTTTTGCTTAAATCGGTCAAGGCAGCCCACCCACTATACTGCTCCATCTTAGACTTGCACTCTTGAAACGTTCTGGGAAGCAGAAGCGTTTCACATCCAGCACTGCTTAGGCTAGAGAGTCTCACGGGCGCTGAGGGGAAAACGAGTGATGGCAGGAAACCTGGCAGATGTTCTGTGCAGAAGTTCACGGTCAGGACTGTTAAAGTGCAGACCTTAATTGCTGCTGGTCCATTTTCCAGTGTGCTAGTGAAGTTCTAATGCATCAGTTTTGCTTCTATCCTGCTTGATGCTGACACAAGCAAAGACTAAACCACTAATCCCCAGTGTGTCCAGTCAGCTTCTTGCTTGCACTTTCACTCGCCTTGCTTCCCAGATTCTGTACTTGTCAAAAATCTCTAAGTTGCTATTTCCATGAGGATCCACTAATGCATGTCCTTCCTGACGTGTTGGTTGACAGATCCAACCATTGAAGTGGTCAGTCCCATGCAGGATATTACTGTTGATGAAGATGGCACAGCAGAGTTCATATGCCAATATTCTAGGCCAGTGCACGCCATATGGAAGAAAAATGATCAGGAAATACATGCAGATGGGCAGCGTGTCATTATCGTGCAGGACTGGAATGTAAGCATGCTAAAAATTAAACCTACGGTACCAGAAGACACTGGCATCTATTCTTGTGAAGCTGAAGGCACTAAAGTGGTGGCTGCACTTGCTGTTCAAGGTGAGGTCTTCCAGACAAAGAGGAAGACTACTATCATGGGTTCCAAATAAAAAGGTGGAAAAATCATGGAAGCATCTCACAATAAATGACTCATCAGAACCCGTTCTTTGATATTCGCTCCAGTAGTGATAACAATGCTAAAAATAGTTGGGCGTTAATGGGAACTGAATAGGAAACAGCGACATTTCACTGAAGCTTAGTTCTAATTCATGCTCTCTTACATCAATTACGTATCATACCTCCTATACAATGAACCACATTTGGCTCCATCATCAGTGCAATGGCATGTGTCCTACTGAGTTACTGTGATGTCGTAGATATAATGTTGGTCCAAAGGAATAGTGAGAATACTTTTTGCTGTTACAGAGTGGTTTTTATATGCAATGCACTTTAAAAGCAGTTGCTAATGGATAGAGGGAATTTTAATTTTATTTTCAGTTAATGTCAACTGCAGCTAATCTAGTTTGGTATTTTACTTATTTCAAATACTGATCACTCAAGAAATACCTTCTCACTTGTAAACAGCGTTTGTGAGGGCCCCAAGAAACAACAAATAAAAAAAAAAAAATAACCATAGGTGTAATTTTATATAGATGTCTAATAATTTATTTTTGATGTCCGTGTATGGAATATTTGTTTTCAGTCACCAGGTGAATTAGTATGATCAGCAATAATATTGATTCTGATCTGATTTCTGAATTATCGTGTTTTTTAGGCAAAATTATGCTTTCTGCCTAATTTATTGTGAGTATAGAGCAGAATATTACTTATTATAGTATTTTGTACTTTGATAAGCACCTTCCTTTTTTAGGAATTAAAAACAGCTAACAGATATTAATGAGTATAAGCCAAAAGAGGAGATAGGATCTGTGATCATCCGCTTCTTATGCTAGGAAAACTAGGACTCAAAAAGTACTCAAAGAAACAGCTCGGATTGATCCTAGCATAAATTGTGCGTTCTCCAAGGGTTTGAAAAACCTTTATCATTCTCCCTGAGTATTATAAACTCTGGACATTTTTTTAGTAACTCATACCTTTTTTTGCTAGGGAATAGTCTGTGTTTCAAACAGTTCCAGACAGTGGTTGTAGAGATGCTGAGCAGGAGTATCTCACAGTGTTGGTTTATATTATAGATCATCACCATTGTATGGTATTTGTGTAAACTATGTTTATGTGCACATAATTTGTCCGTGGAGTTGGTCTGACAGAAATTATGTCCACGTGCACCACACATTTAGTTGTGCAGCAGGCTGACTGCTTATGTACAAATGCCAACCAATGCATGCGATTGCAGTGACTGTGCAGGCAAATGGAGTGTGCAGATAAGCGCAGATAAGTGCATGCTTCTGACCACACAATTCAGCACAAATATGCATAAGAAAATAAACCTAAAACATTATCATAAGACTTTTGTAATAATTCAGAAAATACTGTTAACATAGATTTTAATTTTCCATGTGTTTCCTAGAAGCAGGCTTGCAAAATGGTTTGTTAACTTAATTGACAGTCCCTATAGCTTTGCCAGCTGTGATTTTCTCTCGATGCATTTGTTTTGCATGAAAGGTGGTAAGATTTTATCGTAAGCTGTCAGCTGATTCAAATTTCCCCCAGTTATGATGTTAATTGTGCCTGCCTGGGAGGTCTATGGGAAATGTTTCCTGTTTGGGGACAAAAAGAATCTTATCATCTTCCAGGACTATCACTTCCTGTTGAATATTGGCTTGATTCATATAAACACCAACATTTTTTCTTTATTCATAAAGACAGAAGTCAGGTTTCTGGAGGAAGTCTAGATGAAATGCTAGAGCTTCTGGAGGTTTTCCATTATTTTTAAACTATCTCACAACTTCAAACGTTTTTAAATGCAGCACTGTATTAGAGCATGGCTGAAATTAGCAGCTAAAGCCACAAGCATGCTTTATCACATCCATATCCTTTCCATCAGCTTTCCAGCAATGGGAATCACCAGTGCTCCAGGGTTTGTCAATATTCAGATATGCGTAACCAAACAATTAATACCATTGATGGTTCTCCTTCTCCACTAGCCAAGAACAGCATTGTCCAGGGCCTGGAAAATGTGGAAGCAGTGGAAGGAGGTGAAGCCCTCTTTGAATGCTACCTTTCCAAACCCGAGTGCTACAATTACAACTGGCTGATTGATGATGAGCCTGCCAAAACTACTGAAAACACGGAGATGGTTTACTTTGAAAATGGGCGCAGGCACCTTCTTCTGCTGAAGAACCTAACTCCCCAGGACAGCTGCAGGGTGACTTTTATGTGCAGCGATGCAGTGACCTCTGCCTTCCTGACTGTGAAAGGTAACCGTAGCAGTCTCCTGGGGAGACCTAAATTTTTGATTTGCAAGGGCAAATGAACCAGCAAAAGGGGATGAGTGGCAGAGAGGAAAAGTGGCGTTAAGCTGCTTGCTTCATGCACAACTTCTTATCCCCACATGATAAATGAGTGATGTTTCATATTTTCCTTTTTTCTTCTTGTTCTTTGTGCTATGACCTGGATATAAGTAGCATCATTTAGCAAGGAGTTAGAAGCATATGACTGTCTTACAATAGTCACTCCTCTGGTGAGTTGTGTTTATAGGTGCTTCAAGACTTAGAGATCAGAGTTAGATCAGCACCAATAATATCTATATTTTATACTGTTACCTGGAGATGCCTGTGGGGGTCAGAACCCCTTTCAGAATATAAGAACAGCCGTCCTTGGTCATAGCATGGTTTCTTCTTGCCAGGTGTCCTGACTGTCAGGGGCCAGATGCTCTGGGAAAGAATAAAGGGACAGGAAAATATGGTGTGATTCTTCCCAACAGATTCTTCTTATTTTATTAGGTGCAGAGACTGAGTAAAAGGCAGTTCTTCACTTTGCAGGCATTGTTGCAGTCACATGTCGAAAGAACTGTGGTTACAGAATCACAGAATCACAGAATCGTTTAGGTTGGAAGGGACCTCTGGAGATCATCTAGTCCAACCTCCCTGCTCAAGCAGGGACCTCTAGAGCACATTGCCCAGGATCACATCCAGACGGGTTTTGAATATCTCCAGCGAAGGAGACTCCACCACCTCTCTGGGCAACCTGTTCCAGTGCTCTGTCACCCTCACAGTGAAGAAGTTTTTTCTCAGGTTCAGATGGAACTTCCTGTGGTTCAGTGCAGGTTGCACTGAACCGAAGAAGAACGAGGATAAGATAAACAGCAAGGCATTCAAAATTAGTTTAGTAAATAAATTACACCCAGAGCCCCAAGAGCTTAACTGTTGTTGCCACTTAGGTATCATGGTGGAGTTGACTTTTCTAGGAACTTGTGTTCACTAAGAGATGCAGCACTCTACGATTTTCTTGGCTCTTGACTAGAGACGAATCTCTCTGTCACCTTCTTGTGTCTGCCTCTCATTTGCATTTCCATATTTCTGACTGCCGTATGTGCCAGCATTGCATATCCTATTTAATATGGCTTAATCATGAAACTAGACAAAAATAACCCACTCCTGTTCCCACTTCCTTTCCATTGTACTACTTCCTGGGATGTTTTCTAATTATTACCACCTTATGCTCAGAAGTGTCTTTTGAAAAGGATTTTCATTCTCAAGGAATATTTCCTTTTTTTTTTTTTTTTTTGCATATAATATAATTTCACGTACTTTCAATATCAATTGCAGAGTACGGGAGGTTTGGCTTGGGCTTTCTGCTTAGTTGTGTTTTATTAAATCTATCATTTCATTAAATCCATCTGCTTAGGCTGATAATTCTGAGATCAAATCTAGGCTTGCTATGAACAGATAGAAATCTTGTCAAACCTTCACAGTTGCATCTGATTGCATCAGGAGTAGATTTAACTCTATTGTTTCTTAATGTTTTTGTTATGGTCTATTCTCTAGTTCGAGTCACTGGGCGCGTACCCATATATACAGTTCTGCGCTAGTTATCCAACAAGAGCACGCTGCACAGCCAGCATGAGTATTCTCTGCCTGTATTATGCTTCAGTCTCTTAAATCCATTTACCTCATTTACTTTGTGTAAAAAGCAAAATCAGCAGCAGTTTGTCTTAGTCCTCTCCTGTTTAGTTCCAGAAAGGAGCTGATTTGTGGTACAGACGTTCTGATAACCCTTGGGAGCTCACGCAAAGAAGCTAGTTTGGAATAGAGACATTCTGATAACTCTTGGGATTTCTTGCAAAAAAAAAGTGATAGCTAGAGAACCTAAGTTTAAAAAGGAAACAAATTGAAATGCATTTTGTGACTCAGAAATGTGCAAAGTGGCGGGCTTGCAATTACCTTCTCCTCGGTTGAACTTCCGTCTAGTGGTGGTGTCTTTGCACTGAAACTTTGGTGGCAACGTTAGAAAGTTTTAATTTAGCTCAAAAAGTGTTTGGAAGAGCAAACAGAATTGGGGAGAAAAAAGTGAACTGTACACATTATGAGAAATTTTAGGTGACATATGCAGAGTGAATCTTTGGTTTAGCCAGCTGTCCTTCGTCAAGGCCAAGGAGGAACACAGAGGTCTTACCACGTGGAGCACGATTCTGTTTCCTCATTTATTGGTCTCCAGTTTGTTCTACATCATGTACATTCGTTCTTCATTGCTCTTTCTAATTCAGCCACAGTCCTGAGCCACGTTTTTTGGGGAGATTTTTTCAAGTAATCTCACAGCTTGGCTTCCTATTTTTCCTTCGAGTGCTTTCTTTCTTCTCTGTGTGCCTCTTCCCATATTTTCAATCCAGCTTCTGCAATTTTTGTTGCTAGGTAGTGTGGGGTTCACTGGCATACCAGTGCCAATGTGTGTTGTAATTATCGGAGATGGATTGTTTAGTTTCAGACCCTCAACTCTCTCTCTCTCTTTCTGTTCACTTCAGCCTCTCTCCCAAGTGTGAAAAGAAAGGTCTTAGCTAGACTAGACAGACTTAAAAGCAGCAAAGTCTGACTTGGAATCTCTGGGTTTTGTTTAATGTTACTGTCTAACACGATACCTTTTTTGAGGAGGCACATTTATCACCAACTCCTTTATTTCTGTATTTCTATCACTTGATTCTTCTTTCTGTGATTGGAATTTGATTCTTCTCTTCGTAGAAATAGCAAAAGGATTTAGAAATTAAGATTTGAATGAGTCTCTTATCTTAACAGCAGGCACAACATGTAAGTTTTTTTTTCAGCTGGTTAGGGCTGAGGTGGACTCCGCTAGCAACTTGATTAGGTGTAAAATGTGATTATCTCAGGCTTTAGTTGCTCAGCCGGTTCATTCCAACTAGACATGAAGAGCACATAAGCATTAGGCTGCCTGATTTCTCTACAGTGCTTAACAAGATCAATTGTTTCTGTGCTTCTGGGTTATGCATTCGCCATTTGCATCGAGGAATCAGAACCAGGATTCACCTTAGGTAATTGCAGGCAATTCTATGAACTACCTAAAGCTACTTGTCCTAGGCTCCCCTCGTGCTCTGTACAAGAAAGGCACCCTCAGAGCATCTGCAAATGCTTATCTCACTGAGATACTGACTCTAAAGGGCAAAGGCTGTCCTTTTCCCAGCATTTTCCTGGCAGTATTCACAAACTGTTCAGTAAAGAAAACACAGGGAAGCAGCAGTTTCCAGTCAGAGATATGTGACTTCCAGTGCTGAAAGCTCTGTAAATTCATTTGAGTTCCTTCAATGTATTTTTCTGCTACTTGGAAAAGGAAGACATTTCTGGATTAGTTTTCACTCCTGATATTTTTGGGAGGTTTCAGGCCCCAAGGATACCATCCGTTCTAGTGCCATAGGTAACCTCCCTATTAATGGTCTTCTTGATCTCTGAGGCCTGGCTGCCCAGAGATTCAACACAAATACTCACAATACCTCTTAGTGGCATTTGTTTCAGTACCTGAGGGCTTGATTACCTGTTCGTTTTCTGCAGGGTGGCGCTTACGAATCTTGCAGCCTCTCTCAGATGTGGAAGTCTCTGCAGGGGACAAAGCTACATTTAGTTGCGTTCTAAGTGAAGCAGTGCCAATGAATGAAGTTACCTGGTATGCCAATGACACAGAGATCCAAACAAATGAGGACTGGGAGGTGCAAGCAGATGGAAATAAGTACGAACTTATTCTGAAAAAAGCCCAACCACATCATTCGGGAGAGGTGACCTTTGCTTCCAGGGAAGCAATTACATCAGCCAAGTTAGCTGTGATCGGTAAGTTCATACATTTTAAGTATCTGTCATTCTAGCCCAGTGGCACTTGAAATGTCGAATTTTGGTAGTGAGCTACTGCATCAAATTTTCTAAATTTTGTACTGATTTCTTTCTCATGTGCCAAGCTAGCATTCTTAGGCTGAGAAGACGCTGCTGCTGGGCAACTTGTTCTCCAACCAGAAAAAGTTCACCTCATCAGATGAAAATTAGATCAGGCTAGAGATGATCACCAGGTTTCCTTAGCTGCAGCCTTTTGTAAAATGTAACATAGACTCTCATGAAAATCAGTTTACGGAGAGTTCAACACCACCCTCTGCAAACATATGGACACTGGAGAGAGCTGAACTAGAGTGCATGTGGGAAAATTATCAGGAGCAGCAGAGAACCCTTTGAAGTTTGCCGATCTACTCAAATAGAGATTTGACCGTAAATACAGTCAAGAAGTTGTGCACCCAAGGTTGGCACGTGGGAAGAAATGTTTGGAGTCTCTAAAATCGAAAAAAAAACCCCATCTGTTGACCTTATTTCCCCATAATTTGTTGATTTGTTAAGGTATATGATTCGCAGGTGATTTACTCAGTAAATACGCTTGCAGACTACAAGAATTATTCCTGTCTCCTAAGCCTAAGTGAAATTGGGTGAGGAACATTTTCCAGTGTACTGAGTGTGATCATCAATAGCCAATCTGTTAGGACACAACTCCATTTTCATTATGTATTTATTTGTTGTTGCCCAGTGCTGACATGTATAGCGGTGGCACAGAAATTGGGTGAATTTCTATTAGAGTTGCTAGAGTTACACTGTAGTCTTCTGACAACTTCCTTCCAATAAGGTCAGACCTGAGATAAATAAGATAAAGGCTGAAACAGAATTGAAGATTTCTGCCAAATTCCTTTCTAATCTGGACAGCACAGGGTCATCTTGTTTTCATCCAAGTGAGAAAAAGTATCAGGAAAATATCACAATAATAGGTGACATAATTATCTGAGATGGCACTTGGAAAATGACCATTTGCCATTAGTAGTGTAGGTCAACCGGTCAGGCGCAGATGTGTCTCGTGGTCATAGGCATGTAGCCACTCAGCTTCATACTGAGACAGATACTGAGTGTATTGCACTTCCTTCTTGTGGCTTGCAGGCCTCCAAGGCTGGTGTAGTATAAAGCATTATTGCTCATGTTATACATCTCTGGAACTTTGTTGTGCCCTCAGCCCGCCCTGATCCCCCTGAAGAACCAGAAGTTTTAAGTAAGAACAGTCACTCTGTAACTCTGTCTTGGTACAAGCCGCTGAGCGACGGTGGTTGTGACATCCTAGGCTACAACGTTGAAATGAAAATCCCAGGTGTTGGCTGGCAGTCATGCAGCAAGGGCATGATTCAAAACACAGAGCTTGTGGTGGACCATCTCACCCCGGGCGAACCCTACCGATTCCGCATCTCAGCTATAAACAAAGTCGGGGCCAGTGAGCCGGTGCACTTCCCTCAAATGGTTCAGCTAGGTGAGAAAGAGAGGTGCCCCCAGGAGGACTGAGAGCTGTTGTAGGCCTGTGTTTTGCATGGCACGCCTGCTTCACCCGCTCTAGGGGTCTCCTGGAAGAGTCCACTCTACAACGTATTGCGGTGCTTTGCTGCCTGCACTGTATAGGAGAACTAACTTGGAAAAATTGTTCTGGGCTACTGCAAAGCAAAACCTGCTGCATTGTTCGTGCTCAATGTTTATTTTCTCCAAACTGCATCAAGCTGTTGCGTGGCCTGCCGTGCATCCGTGTGTTGTCTGGTGACCATGAGTTTCTTTTCTGATGGAGGTCAGATGGAACGAGGCGGAAGGAGCATGCTGGCATGCGTCTGGAGCAGCTGAGGCCCTGGGTGCCTATGCAGTGGGTGGGCAGTGTTGTCTTCTTCACCCGTCTTTCTCTCTTGTTATACTCTTTGCACATCTTTTATAATAACCCTCGTGAAGGAGTGCTGGAGGACACAGCTTCTTTGGTGTCTGTTGGTGAAACTTTGGAAGCTGCAGTGAGATGGAGAGCCACTCTTCCAAAGTTTCTTTCTTTTTCCTGTGATGCCATCTGTGATAGCAGAGTCCCCAGCAAGTACCTCAAAGTGAAAAGACTGTATCTATAAAAAAAAGATCCCTTTTGCTTAAGACTCAGGCACACAATGATGTTTTTGCAACATAGCAGCTTCCAGTGTGTCAGCTGCATCCTGGTAACTCTGCATACGCTCACTTCGTCTGCAACAACTCTGAACTCGTGGGCAATGATCCCCTCACCCCGGTGAAATGGGCAGAGGGGCAGATGATGTTCAGGACTGTGATCCTTCTGGGAACTCAGCTGTGTGCTTTAGGTCCCAGTCAATGGCAGCTGAACGTCTGCACGTTTAATGGATTTGTCTTGGCTTCATTTGGAATATCATTATCATACAAACAACATGTCATTGGCAGGCCTCCTTCCAGGGTAAAGAAGATAAAGAAGAATTTGAGATATTCTTTATGCTTTTTGAGAATTTTTAACTCTTCAGGAACTAGAGCAAAAATTTTCTTTTTTTTTTCTTTTTCAACTTTCAAGACTAGGATGAAGTCAACTTTTAATAATCTCTTGTTTTCTTTTTTTCTTTGTTGTCTCACTTCTTCAAAACTTCTTCACTTCTAAACATTATGATCTTCTAGGATATTTAGGGCTGCTTGAGTGTTCATTGTGATGGGTAAATGAAGATCACCAAATGCAGAACGAGGAAAAATGAATCAACTTCTGCATGTACATATTTACATGAAGTTGGTTTAACCTCTGGGAGAACCTGTGCAATTAATTTCATATTATCTTTGGAAGTTTTGAACTTTGGATGCTGCCAGTAATGTTCTTTGCTTGTCTACAACAGTCAAAGAATCTATAAGTTAAGGATGGGATGTTTAGTTATTCTACAGAGTGATCTGGACCACCTTAAAGCCAATTTATGATGTGTTGTGTTAATTCATGTCTCCTACCTTTTTTTTTTGTAATTACAGAGCCTCCACTTACAGTCACTCATCCTTTGGTGGGAGGATCAGTCTCAGAAGGGGAGGTGGCTCGCTTGGAGTGCAAATTATCAGCTGAAATCCAAGAGACAGCAACATGGCTCAAAGGAGAAGAACAAATACAAGCTGGAGGGAGATACGAAATCCTCTCTGATGGAAAAAAGCAGATACTCATCATTCATGCATTTAAACCTGAAGATCAAGACACGTACACCTGCATGATTTCTCCCGAAGTCAAATCTGTTGCCAGCCTATGTTTAGAAGGTATGAAGAGTGCATTCTTGTGACCTTAAATCAGTTCTGCTTAGGGACATTTAGGGGCATCTCTACAGTTTGGTCTTGATTTCAGTTTCCATTACAAGTAGTGTCTCAAGTCCACAAAGAATCATTATCTTCCTGTTTGTGTATTGCCCAATATGTTTCTGAATGTGTAATAGTTTTGAGCTATTCAGATAAGATTTTCCAGATACTTTCCACCCTAAAAAATACTGATTGTCACCAAAGTCCCCAGCACTTCATAGCTGAGAATAAAAACAAAACTCTGAAAGAAGTGGGAAAATTGGGTAAGTTGGAGTAGTACAGTCTTCTTATACTACACTGGGCTAAACTCTGAACCCTTTTTTTTTCCTCCCCTTTTCTTTCCTCCTCATGGTTAGGCAACTCAGTCTGCCCCAGAGGGTGAATCAGACCTAGACATCTAAACCTAGGTGTCTCCAGGCAGCTGTCTCCATGTGAGATGGGTGTCTCAGTTCCCATTACAACCAGTGGAGATCTATTCAAGACAGTCATTGGAGCCCTGTTTAACTTTGAAATAGAGAGCACTGAATTGCTTTCCATGCTCCACTGGCTAGGGCTTCCTATCTGCTTTGACTGCAGAAGGAACCAAGATAACTGGCTTATACTAAATGTCTGGCTTTTAGTTGGCAACGGTTAAGTGAAGTGAATCACACTAATCTGACTATGAAGAGAAAGAGCTGACAATACTGGATGGATTGTGAATGCAGCTGTTTGTTCGTTCTTTACAAAATGAGCTTAATTGGTTAAAATGTGTGGGTAAATTAAGATACGTGAGGAAAATACAGTAATGGGTAGATTTCTTAAGAAAAAACAAAAATCCTACCTATTTCTGTCATGCCCTCACTTGAGATCAAGAACTTATTAGTTTCCTGTTGAAAGACTATCATTGTTCATTTAATTGTGTATGTTAATTTCCATATCCAAATGTGAATCACACTCTTATAGTCTGAATTATTATTATTTTTAGCAACAGCTTTGACACTTTACTTCTATTGTTCTCCATGAGTGAGTCTGCGTTTTTTTTTTTTTTTTTTAATGCGGAGCCTTTAGAGATCCAAAATTTTTCTATGCATTAATTCAGGCAATATACAGTCAATGCCACATTTCCCTGGAGGCATTAGTAAAACTGAGAACACAGCAGGAGATAAAAAATAGTCTTTGGTTGTGTCTTTGAAATTGAAATATTTTTCTGCAGCCCTGTGCAGAGATGTGTAGAGTGAGAGGAGAGACATGGAACTTCACTCAGCTTCTCTACCTCACCTTATGGTTTGTGCACCTCCATGGGTTTTCCAAGGCCAAATTGCAAGCTTTTGTTTTCGAAACATGAGTCTAGCCAAATGCTAGATAGCTTACCATTTTGGAATATGACTACATATAAGAAATAGAATTAGACATGAATATTAAAAAGTGACAATATTTGGTTTACTAGGGGTTCAAATGTGTGAGAAAGAAAAATGTTGATGTTCGGCCATATTTTATGTACATGCACAGAATGAGAAGATAGTTGAGGTTGGAAGGGACATCTCTAGGTAACCTAGTTCAACCCACCTGCTCAAAGCATGGTCAGCCAGAGCAGGTTGCTCAGGACCTTGTCCGATAGGGTTTTGAATAACTCCACAACCTCTCTGAGTTACCTGTTCCGGTATATTAAATTTATATTTTTTTCCTCAACATAATGTTAATTAAGTGCCACTGAGATTCTTCTGTCACGATTTTAGTATGATATTTCCATGTGCTTTTTCAGGGCTTAATCATAGACTTTGTTTTTTACCATATCACCAATATAATTCTTCTCAGTTCCTACTGTAGCAATGCTAAAAGAGATCGCCAGGGAAACAGCCCCTGCAAGCCAACTGGAAGAGCTGGTGGATGAACATGTCCAGCCCAGCTTGCCCCCTGAGGCTGCTCAGGAGGGAGACCTTCACCTGCTGTGGGAAGCTCTGGCCAAGAAACGCCGGATGAGCCGGGAGCCCACCTTGGATTCCATCAGCGAGGTGCCTGAAGAGGATGAGAAGCTTCAGAAGCTGAGGAAGGAAGAAGCAGAGATGTCTCACTATTACTCAGAGGAATACTCCACATGTGATGAGCTGGCTAGGACTGGCGAAGCAGATTTCTCTTTCACAAGCTCAGATGATGAGTCTAGAGCTGGGACTCCCTCACTAGTCAACTACCTCAAGAAAGCTGGGAAGACAAGTGTCAGTGTTACTAGCAAGGTTCAATCCATCTCCACGGGCAAGTTATGGAAACAGTGGGAGAAATCCAGTGTGGAAACTGCTGTGCCGGCCCCATCTGCTAAGCCCGCTGAACCAGAAATAACAGATTTAGATGATCCTTCCATGAACAAGGCAGCTGTAAAGATCCAGGCTGCTTTCAAAGGCTACAAAGTCAGGAAGGAGATCAAGCAACAAGAGTGCCCAGTGTTTGCCGAGACCTTCAAAGATTTCTCTGGTGAGCCTGGAAGCACTCTCCACCTTGAGTGTGTGGCCCACAGCAAAACTGATATGCAAATCCGTTGGCTGAAAGACGGGGAAGAGCTTTCAGATGGTCGCTACTACCATATCGACAATTACAGTGATGGGACCTGCTCTTTGATTATCACTGGCCTGGATATGAAAGATGCAGGTGAATACACCTGTGAAGCATCTAATAAATTTGGCAAGGTTTCACACAGTGCTAAGGTAGTGATCAGCAGTCAGGAACCTCAGGTTATTCGTAAAGAGAAGCAAGTTAAACATACCACTGACAGCGAGACTGAGAGCTCCTCTGGCAGTGAGCTGGATGATGCTTTCCGTAAAGCAGGAAGGAGACTTCACAGGCTCTTCAAGGCCAAGATCTCAACAGAGATATCTGATGTGGAGGAAGAGCTCTTTGTCAGTGCAGATGAAGGGGACGTAGAGGTGGTAGACCATCAGACGTATCGTGAGGATGACCAGTACATCTACATCAAGTTTGAAATCTTGTCTGAGGCAAAAACTGCTGCCACTCGCTTCAGAGAGATGTTTGGTGCTCTGGGAATCCCTGTGGAAATTGACATTTTGGAACAAGGCCCTAAAAAAGTGGAATTGCGTATTGGGAAAGCAACACCACCTGCCCTCGAAAAGTTCGCACCACCAGTAGCAAGACCTCCACCACCTTTACTGACTTCTGATACAGGTGAGTAAAGCAAGCTCATTCTGTCTTTGAAAAAGGTAGCTGGAGTAGGTCAGGATGTTATTTTTTCACTTGTGAGTAACTTTTAAAACTTTATTTTTTGCTTTATGCAGATATTTTGTGGCAATCTTTGCACTTTAGAAAAAATAGATTAAATTTTTCTTTTTTTTTTTAAATTTGGCGGAGAGGAGGGAAGTCGGTGCTGGGCAGGGGGTTACAAAGTTCACACTTACCTATAAAGCTGCTTTTCATAGTAGAAATGTCCAATGCTATGAGAAGATAGCTACGAATGCTTTTATTGCTATACTTAAGTTAATTAAAAAGTTTTCAGAACAGCCCTTAAAGAAGGACAAAAGATATTTTGTCAAGGAAAGGAACTGAGACAATATGTAGTTTGCAGCTGATATGTTTCAATGCTTATGGCAGTCCAGGAGAACTTTTTCATAGTGTTTATCAGGGAGTTTCTATCTGACCTTTATTGTCACGGAGAAAAGACGTCACACTGTTACTTAAAAACCTCTGAAGCAGAAGTCTTCTGGCACTGGTCACTCCTAAAATACATCTAACAGACCGATTTATCCTTTCTTCTTCCCTAACTACTGTGAATTTAGCTCCCATGTTCGTGACTGAGCTTCAAAACCAAGAGGTACAAGATGGATATCCAGTCAGCTTTGACTGCATCGTCATTGGCAAACCTCTCCCGACGGTTCGCTGGTTCAAGGATGGGAAAGCTATTGAAGAAAATGACCATTACATGATCAACGAGGACCAGGAAGGGTGCCATCAGTTGATCATCACAGCTGTGGTCCCTGCTGACATGGGTGTTTACCGTTGCCTCGCTGAAAACAACATGGGAGTTGCTTCAACCAAAGCTGAGCTTCGAGTGGACTGTAAGTCTCAACTGTATAAAAGCCAGAAGGAAGGGGTTTTGCTCAGAGAGGGATAAATATTTTTTAAGAAAAATACTGTTTACATTTTCTTAAAAAAATCTACACATTGCCCACAAAACGTTTCACTTGCGAACCTCTTAGGTTCATTGTGGTTTTGCCAAAACTGAGGTAAGGTCCTGTGCAAAGCTTTTCAGATAAACAAAGATATAAAGGTGTTTCCCATAAGCCAGGGGCATGTGGGGCCCTTCTGCAGCAATGTGAGGTCAAACTGCCTGGCATTCACGTTAGTAGGGAAATAGAGAGTATGTCCACCTCACTGGACAGCCACGAGGTCTGGGAAGATTCTGATCCACAGGAAATTCTGGGAGGAAAAAAATGCTTCTAGGTCAAAAAAATGGGAAGGGAAAAAGAAAAAAAAAACTCTGAAATGTTCTTTGAACTAGAAATGTGGATTTTCAGCTGAGTCTGGCTCTTGGAGTGCTGTGGATGCGCTTTTAATAGAAAGCATGTATTATTCTGGACTGAGTGACTGACTGACTGAACAGTTTTTGCAAGCAAAATGAAGAAATACAGAGTTGCTATTTTTTAAAAAGTTTCTGCTAGAATATTGTAAATGGGTTAATAATAAGACAATAGCTGTGATGTTAGGGCAGCAAACAGACGCAGCAGTTTGCGCGGCAGTGTCTGGGCTCTGCCTGGGCCTTTTGTGGGCCTTGTTGGAAGTTGTGGAGACTTTCTGGGGACCCCCGAGGAACTAGACGGTGCCTGCTGCTAGCAGGAAGGGAGAGCTGGGCAAGGACTCCTGCAGGGGACCTTGACTTAACTTCTCCTGGGAAGTTCTAGCTAGGTGGGGCTGCTGCTAACAAGCTCTCTGGGCTGCCCTGGTCAGAGGGAGTTGGGGCTTTTGTTTCAGGTGGCTCCTGATTGGGTGGGTCAAGCGCCCTTGTGAGTCACTGCTAGGCAGAGGCCTATATAAGAGCCAGGCCCAGAGTGCAGCCAACAGAGGCAGCAGTTTGTGCAGAAGGGTGCCAGAAGGCAAAGAAGGCACCTCTCCATTTTGCACAGTGGTGTGTCCTGTGTGACCTTCCCCGGGGCATGGTCATGACACGCCACGGAGCACGTTCCCCAGTGGCTGCGGGAGGTGCTGCATCGGCTGTGTCTGAGGCCTCAACCCAGACAGACCCTCAGACAGCAGAGGCAGCCCTGCAGGTGTCAGGCTGCGGGGAGTGCTAGATAAAGGAGCTGTGTGAGGAAGTTAGTAGGCTGCGTAGCATCTGAGAAGATGAGCAGGAGACTGACAGGGTATTCTCAGAAACTGTGCAGCTCCAGGAGTCCCCACCCCCAACTGCAGTGGAGTTGCCAGAGGGCTCTATTTCGTAACGGTACATCATAACGCTGTTGAAAAAGGCTGGAAGCTGGTGACCTCTCGTAGAAGGAGAAAGGCTCTTGCTCCTCCTCAAGACTTACCCTTGAAGAACAAGTTTAGCGCCC